TGACGTAGAGTGCGGACATCCTGTCTACGCTGGTGCACAGCAAGCCCTGACCACTACTTTAGGGGCAGTGTAGTACTCAGGAAAACCTATCTGATTAACAATCCAAGACCCACAACAAGGCTTCAGAAAAGAACGTCCAAACATGCACAGATGAGGAGGAAATCAGGAGCCCTAAACATGCATGCTGTGCCCAGCCTGGTACCAGGCCCCACACCTTAGCCCTTGCTGGATGAGGCAGAGCACAGGCCCCCCTCTTTGGGCTCAGCCAATGATTTCCTTTAGCCAATAGGGTGTTAGCAGACTTGGGACCCTGCTGGCCCTGAGGGGAGTGGCTGAGAGGAGCCTGCCTGCTACCACCCCCAGCGACACATGGTGCAAGTCAGGTAGGTGACTGTTAGTTCGCCACACTTGGTTTTGGGTGGTTCATTACCAATAATTATTGTGGCAAGAGTTAGGGGTTAGGTAAAAAGGACGTTACCAATTTGTCTACAAAATACAGTTGCTTCAGAAATCACTACTGGGCTGGAAATCTGAGGAAAAATGTCTTAGAGGAGTTAGGAATACTAGACACACACAGGCCGTCAACAGAATGGGGTCAAAACACATCATTTCTCAACAGGCAGTGAGGAAGCGGAGGCAGAGGCCCTTCACAGGAAAGGGAAATGGGCACACACAATGGGAGGTGACAGTGGGAACCACCAACTGTCTAAATCCACTGACCTCACTGCCATCAGAGGAACCCGTGTAACGTTTCGGGAATTAGCTTTGGAGTCCACCATGGACCGCTCCAGCAGCCCGCCTGGACAAGCTATCAGGCAGCATCCGCGGGGAAACATTTGGGGGGAGGTGGGCACGGGGTGGAACAGAGAGGCCAGTCTCCCAAAGTGGTGATGGGACCTGAGGGCTCCATGTCCTGCAGCACAGCCTACAGGGACCCCCTCTGGGAGGTGGAGAAACCAGGAGTCCTGCCTCCTCCGTGCACCTCGCACCCTGGCCAGGTTCTCACACAGCCCCGCCATTGCTGAGGGACGCAGATCTCTTCTGCCGAAGGAAAACCCGGGCTCCTCGGAGCACAGCCGGCTGTGTCTGCTCCAGCGTGGCCTTCAGAGGGTGGAACAGGGACACAGGGCCCATCTGTAGAAGGGACACAGGGAAGAGGAAGAGCTCTAAGGGCAGAGACAGGTGTGCCAGAAAGCTGGCCTGACCCCACAGCATGGGTTGGTGCTCCTTCTGCCCTGCCTCAGCCCTACACAGGAGGTAGGCGGGGGCTTACTCCCAACCTGGCCTGTGAGTGACATCAGGAAAGTCATTTCGCTTCTTGGAGCTTCAGTTTCCCTACCTACAAAATCTGGGGACCTCATATAATTAAAAATGATAAAAAGATATCATCTCATCATCAACTTGGATTGATGGGTAGAGGCTGCATGAGCCCCGGACTGAGCAGAATTCTAAGGACATTTCAGGGCTCAGGGGGTGGCGGGGGGGCACTGATGGGTGTCTGCAACAGACAGGGGAACGGGGGATATCGTGTGGGCATCAGATACTTCCCATCCCACGATGGGTGAATGTCCCTGTAAGCTCCGAACACCAGGCAATTTTCTAGACAGAGTCTACGTATGGTCACTGATGGTTTGGCTGCATGAGAAAGTTGTTATCTTTGAAGGATGACATCAGGAAGATGGGGTCCCAAACCAGCCCAGTCAGAGTCATGAGTGGAAGAAATCATGACCCTGGACACATCAGTTTGATTCTCTCCGCTCCCTGCCAATGTGCACGGTAATCAGGTTCTCCTCGAACCTCCCCAAACAACCTCCTCAAATATTCTTCAAACTCTTCTACCACTTAAAACAGTGGTATCTCCAGGGAACATGTCCTCAGGCCCTTGTCTACTGCTCCTGAACACAAGGTCTCCAAGTCAGGGGGTCCCCACTACCAGCAAGAGACCAGCCATTGGAAAGAATACAGGCTGTATGGGGTTTCTGACTTTGGGGCCAGAGAGTGAGGCTACAGTAAGAACCTCTCATCTTCCTTTTCCCGCCGGGCAATCCCCAGGAAGGATGTGGGTTTCCTCTGCCATCTAAACAACTGACGGGTGTCAGAGTCTGAGGTTTACTTCTTGGAAATCCTGGGACTCTGTACCTGGGACAGGCCTCCCGTGGCCTGGTGAATCTGGTCTCTGGGTGTCTTGTTCTGTTTGTAGAAGTCAAGTATCATCAGAGCTGCATACACCTTTCCTACGGTCATCTCATCGGCTGGAGGGAGAGAAAACAGAGGGTGGAGTGTGGAGGAGGAAGGGAAGGTGGGGGGCAAGGGAACAGAGTGTGGAGGAGGAAGGGGAGGTGGGGGGCAAGGGAACAGAGCTTGGAGGAGGAAGGGGAGGTGGGGAGCAAGGGAACAGAGTGTGGAGGAGGAAGTGGAATTGGGGGGGCAAGGGAACAGGCTCCACCACAAGGACTCCTGGACATGATCAGGGAAGGGCACAGGGCTTGGCTGAAGTTGCATCTTTGGACACTAAGCACGTGTACTCTGGAGCTGTACTGACTCTCCACAGGGCCCTCCATCTCCTCCCAATGAAGCGGATGTGGGGTTTAATCTTTAAGCACCTCATCTCTAACTGTAGGAGTCTCCCTGCTGTTCTCTGGATTTTTTTAAGTATACACCGCCACCAGGAACGTGGGTGAATGTGGTCAACAGAATAAAGCCCAGGGAAACCATTCCCACAGTCCCTATGCACCCACTGGTAAGACCGTTCTCCATGCAGGTGGAAACTAAGTCTAGACTATTGACGAGGTCACCCTGGCCCAGGCCTCCTGGCTCTGCCTCTGGGTGGGACACAAAGGGGGTGAACAAGGAGAATTTCTTGCCCTCACTTACGTTTATGGGGTGGCAACAGTAAATCAAGGGTCTTCTGGGGCAGATTGGTCCACACAGAGGAAATCTCCTTCCTCAAATCTG